ATGTTGGTTGGTGGATAGACACCTGCGTCTCTCGTTGTGTCTGTTATGATCGTGTTATGTTTAAACATACACGAATACTAAAGATAAGAAAGTGTTGTTAGAAGATGGCCAGACCATGAATGTTGCTGGAATTGTAGACATAGAGCTAAATTTCACCTTCAAAAAGACTTTAATTTTAAGGAACGTTATGCATGTTCCTAATATTAGAAAGAATATTGTTTCTGGTTTCCTTTTAAATAAGACATGGTTTAGTCAGTCTATTGGGGTAGATTTGTACGCCATTACGAAGAATCAAGTTTATATGTTTAAATTTTTTGTAAAGAATTTGAAAATGATATAATAAGAATTTGTAGTGATAGATAAACTGTATGATTCTAGTTTATTAATGAATTTTATACATGGAATTATACATGAAACGACTGCACCATACTATCTTGCAATGAATAGTAAAACAGAAAGAAATAATAGAACTCTTACTGAACTTGTTGTTGCAATTATGATGAATTCTGGTGTTGCACCTCACTGGTGGGGGGAAATTTTATTGACTGTTTGCTATGTCCTTAATAGAGTCCCCAAGTCAAAATGTGAGATCTCTCCTTATGATATATTAAAGAAAACACAACCAAACTTGTCTTATTTGAGAAATTGGGGTTGTCTGACTTATGTCAGAATTCTGGATCCGAAACGAGTTAAACTCGCTAGTAGAGCATATGAATGTGTTTTCATTCGGTATGCAGCAAACAGTAAAGCATATAGGTTTTATGACCTAAAGGCAAAAGTGATCATAGAATCAACTGATGTTGAATTCTATGAAGACAAATTTCCTTTCAAATTGAGAAATAGTGGGGGCATACAATCGAGTCATATTCCTATGATAAGAAGCACATAAAGCAACGACAATGTAGAAACAGAACTTCGACGAAGTAAACGAGTAAGAGTTGCTAAAGACTATAGGTCTGAATATGCGGCTTATAGTGTAGAAGAAGATCCAATGAATCTTCAAGAAGCCTTGTCATCTTTGGATGTTTATTTATGGCAAGAAGCTATCAATAATGAGATAAAATCTCTAGAATCTAACAAGACCTGACACTTAGTAGACTTGCCTCATGGTTGCAAACCAATCGGTTGTAAATGGGTTTTGAAAAAGAAACTAAAACCTGATGGAACTATTGATAAATACAAGTTTCGCCTTGTTGCCAAGGGTTTTAGACAAAGAGAAAATATAGATTTCTTAGACACCTTTTCTCCTGTCACTAGAATTGCATCCATTAGGGTGCTTATTTCAATAGCTGCTATTTATAACTTAATAGTATATCAAATGGATGTTAAAAACAACTTTTTTAAACAGTGACTTAGAAGAAATCTATATGAAACAACCGGAAGGGTTTGTGATCTATGGATAAGAAAACAAGACCTGTAAGTTAGATAAGTCTTTGTATGGGCTAAAAGAAGCTCCAAAGTAATGGCATGTAAAGTTTGATAACTTAATGATATCGAATGTGTACAAAGTGAATGAAAGTGACAAATACGTTTATTACAAATTTGAGAATTGTATTTGCACTATCATATGTCTATATGTAGACGATCTACTCATATTTGGATCAAACATTCAGGCCATTAATGATATGAAATCATTGTTGTGCAACAACTTTGATATGAAAGACCTCGGAGAAGTGAGTGTGATTCTTGGTATCAAGATCATAAAATCCGAGCAAGGAATTTCTTTGGATCAATCACAATATGTGAAAAAGATCTTAAAGAAATATAATTACTTTGACAGTAAATCTGTGAGCACACCAAATGATCCAAGCGTGAAGCTGTTTAAGAACACTGGTGAAAGTGTTAGACAAACAGAACATACGAGCATCATTGGAAGTCTTGGGTATTCCATTGATTGTACTAAACCTAACATTGCATATGTCGTAGAGATTGTTGTGCGGGTTTACTAGTAGACCGAGTAATGAACATTGACAAGCTATTGAGCGAGTCATACGGTACCTTAAAAGGACCATGAATCTCGGTTTACATTAACAGAGATTTCCTGTTGTACCTGAAGGGTACAATGATGCAGATTGGAATACCTTATCAAATGATTCCAAAGTAACTAGTGGCTATGTATTCAACATAGCTAGAGGAGTTGTATCTTCGAAATCAAAGAAACATACTATCCTGAGAATATAGCATTAGCGACTGTTAATGAAGAAGCAAGTTGGTTAAGATGCTTGCTAACTGAGATTCCCTTATGGGAAAAACATATGTCAGTTGTGTTGATCCATTGTGATAGTACCGCGGCTATTGCAAAAATTGAGAACCGTTATTATAATGGTAAAAGACGACAAATAAGAAGAAAGCACATCATTGTTAGAGATTGTATCTCTAAAGGAGTTGTAAGAGTGGATCATGTACGCATTGATGAAAATTTAGCAGATCCTTTGACGAAAGGATTAGCTAGAGAGAAAGTCTATAATACATCATATAAGATGGGACTAATGCCTATAGGAAAATGAGTTGCTCATGATGGTAACCCGACCTAAATGACTGGAGATCCCAAGAAATAGGTTCAATGGGTAATAACAAGTTATGAGTAATATGAGATGATCATGCAAGTAAAGCATGAATCCTGAAGTAATAAGAGGATGAGATAATAGAAACTCTTAATGAGATCTATACTTTGTATGAGGGAGTACCTAAGCTACAGGAGTACTCTTGATAGACTCACCTATGTGATTGTGGAACTTAGGCCGGTTCCTATGGAATTTCGAGGCAGAATTCCTAGAGCCTTCATTAAACTGGGATACACGTGTAGGGCCATTAAAGCACGGGCTATTAGAATACACCTTAAGAAAAAGTTGTGTGCAAGTTTGATATCTCAGATAGAGTTCAAGACATTTGTGTGACTCTTGTTGAATTGGAATCTTACTTGCTATGCAAAGGTTCAAGTCGTAGACACCTTTGTTTATGCACAATCTTAGAAACGTTTGGCGTTACTTCTAAAATCAATTTTTTAAATTCAAGTGGGGGATTGTTGGAACATGTTTATGTTTTAATATGTTGAATTTAAAAATTTCTCAAGTCCCACATTGTTAGAATATATTTTTTTGGTTGAAAAAACCATTTAGTCCCACATTGCTCATGTGAGAAATATTAACTATCTTACTTCACTATATAAGGAGTGCACATATTTCATTCCAAATTACACCAAAAACTACTCTATTAGTTTTTCCTTCCTCACTCTCACAACTCTGCGTCTCTCGAATTGTCAAAGCGCCATCTTCTTCCCCTTTCTTCATACTCGTTGAATTTTTCGAGTATTTTCTTGAATTCTCTTTAGAGAATTATGTTAATTTCTCCTCATTTGAGTTGAGAAATTTTCAAGTTTAATCTTTTGAATTCTCTTTGGAGAATTATTTGAATTTCTTTGTTTGAGAAATTATTATGACTGGTCTTTGTACCAGATACTACGAGTGGTGTTGATACCATATTTGAATGGTCTTGTACCATCAAAGGGTGTATTTCTAGACCGATTATCTATCATGCAAGTAGTAATCGTACAGTATAGAACTGGGTTGTTTTATCCTGGAGGCGGCGCGGTAGTTTGACTGTTTTGCATAATTTTGAGCAGTGTCGCGAAACGTCTTAAAGAGAGCGACCTAGTCCGCGACTCAACCTGGTAATTTCTTCGGTGGCAAATATTTCAAAATCTGAAAACAACAGTAATGTCATAACAACGGATCCATATGACTCTCTCATCGTCTACATCAATTGGCTTTCATGCTCGAACAACTTTAAACCATTGATTTAACAAACGCTTCTCGTGGACCATCAACTTCTTCAACTCTACATCGCCTCTATCTTCCAATAAGCACATGTTTTCTCCAAGAGGCATAACTAAAATGGAGAAATAACCTCCATCATTGAAGATTTCCTGCATATTATACCCCATTCTTAATTTAACAACACAACCTACAAAAGCTTTGTAGAACCTATCCAACCAACTTACTCGATGTTAAAACAAATTGAATGAACCGAAGAATGCAACTGAGGTGGTTGTCTTGATGTTAAAACCTCTGCGTATGAGTTTCTGAGTTAGACCTCCATGAGGTTTTCCATGCCTAATCAGATCGTGGATATTAATCTTTCTTTCTCTATCCATATTTTTCAGTAGCTCTTGAATCTTTCATAGTAGCCTACGGAGGCTTCCTTTGGAATCTAGGGACGTTTTCATGTAATTTCCTCCCTTATAGAAATATGTTATCAAGCTTTGTAGCCATTAAATGCCCATCTTTTACATCAAAGAAGCAAACAAAATTGTAACGCAATCCTCTTTTGTGACGTTTAGGTGGGATGACCACTTAGTCTATATCACCCAAGAATTGAAATTCATGATACAATTATTTAGCACTATAGAATTTTGTGAACGAGCTGATGAAGAAGGAAGTGCGCCCCCGCCTGACTCGAGCATCTGCATGGTTCTTCCTTGGATTGTCCCACCAAGAAAAAGATGAGTTTTGTCTCCTCCTAAGCACTCTCCATCCTTTAACATCTGGTATGGAATCTAAATTTGGTACGATTAAGGATATATCAGGCTGAGTATTTGAATTTAGTTGGATATGAAAAAAGGGCTATGATTCTATTCCAGATTACTTTTTGAACAACCTTATTTGGATTATACTTAAAAAAAGCTTTACAAAAAGAGAAATGTTTTTAATGACACATCCTTCAATTTCTCTTACTTGGGTCTCCCAAAACGAAAAACTCAAGCATTCACGGTTTAATTAGAATCCGTTAGAAATTGTCAATTTGGATATAAAAATTAAATCACGAAGAACACTTATTAAGAGGGATATGAACATAATCAAACATCATTTTCTGGCAAAATGAGAGGTAAAATAAGATTGATTCACCATTAAAAGTTATCCACTGATTTTACAATATAATTCAGATCCAAAGAGTTCAACATGTGCTACAAAAGAGAGCAACACCAAACTTAATAACAAATTCTAAGCTCTCTCGCCTCTGATCCTACGAGCAAGCTGAATATCCTTAGGCATAATCGTAACTCTCTTAGCATGAATTGCACAAAGGTTAGTATCTTCAAACAAACCAACAAGATAAGCTTCGGCGGCTTCTTGAAGTGCCGAAACAGCGCTGCTTTGGAATCGTAGATCCGTTTTGAAATCTTGAGCGATTTCTCTAACCAATCTTTGGAATGGAAGCTTCCTTATGAGAAGCTCTGTGCTCTTCTGATACTTCCTGATCTCTCTTAGAGCGACTGTTCCTGGACGAAATCGGTGAGGCTTCTTCACTCCTCCCGTCGCCGGAGCGGATTTGCGAGCGGCCTTTGTTGCCAGTTGCTTTCTTGGGGCCTTGCCGCCGGTGGATTTGCGAGCGGTTTGTTTGGTACGTGCCATATCGATTGAAAAAAATGAGAAAAGTGGTTTTGATTGTGAATCGAAAGCGTTATAAGAAAATTGAAATGTGATGTTAGGGAAGGAAGTGTTTGGGGAATATATAGCGAGGAGATGAATGAGGGGAAAGTGGGAATTGACAAGATTTTGACAAAGTTTGGAAAGTGAGATGGAAAAAGAGTCACCGTTGATTAGAACGGGTATCTACGGTCATATATGTCTGGGAGAAGGGTAGTGGGATCAGGATCCGTCGCATATGAAACTAACCAATAGAATTACTTTCTCAACATTTTGCTATTGAGAACTGTTTCATATATACATAGCTGTAATAAGATTGGATTATTGCTCTTTCCGTAAAATAAAAACAAAAAGCTTTAGGTAATAGGTCAGATGAATAACACAAAATAAATGATAAATTGTTCAATCCTACCTAAAATTTTTATTATCCTTTAACACAGCTACAAATTTTGATTATTAATTTGATTTTGATTACTCAAACTTCAATCTTCGCACTTGTAGCAATTTTTATTAAATTCTTCTTAGAGGTTGAACTTCTTTTTCAAAAGATTGATAAAAATAAAAGACTACTTCATTTTTTATGGAGAAGATAATCTTTGTCTTCGATGGAACTTTGCATTGTTAAAAAATACACGTATGCATGTTACTCATGTAAGAACACGTGCACTAAAAGGTTTTAGTAAGTATATTATGATGTATGGTAGTTAGCGCTTGTTGGAGAACCTGTATCACATGTTACTTGACAAATAATGATAAATTATGAGAAAGTTAAAGAGTGATTAAGGGAAAAGAGATTATTGATTATTGTGTATGTTGTGTATGTTTTCAATTATAATGAGGGATGGTATTAGTATTTATAAACACTCTAGCCACCCAAATCAAAATTAAAACAAATTACCCGCCCGAGTATATTCTTAAAGTCATTTGTCTAACTAAAACTGATATACCAGCTCTCATGTATGGTGTTTCTCAATGGCTTTGAGTTCCTCGACCATTGTAGCTTTCCAATTTTCATCATGTAGGGCTTGCACATGATTAATTGGTTTTGACTCAGCTATCATTACTTCTTCAATCAGTTCACCATTTTCCCTAATTGATTTATCAGGAAATCTCTCATAGTCATTCAGCCTGACTGATGGAGCTTTAGTTCTGCTTGATCTTCTCACTCAATGATTTTGTGCACGCTCAACTGGTGCAGACTATATTCCCCACACAACTACTTTGGCACTTCAACATTTGGTTTTTCATACAACATCTTCTTCATATACATCAGGTTAAGACTCCCAAAATTAAGATGGCCAAATCTTTGAAGCCAACTCTAAATTTTATATTTAGTTGTGGTTGATGCAAGACATTGATGATCGAGCATATAGTGATCATGACCTTGTTAGCTTGGATTTTCATCAAGACTTTAGGATTATGGTCTTAAAGAATTGATCTTTGGATGATCCCCGTAAAAGGGATAAGGTGTAACACTCAAGGCCAACATGGGCAAGGGAAGTGGTTGTCAGTGCACGAGGCATGACAATGAGACACTCCCAAGGGTGAGGAGTGGTCATCAAATTTACATCAGAATTAGAGGGATCCTGAGGTTGTGCAAATAAGGGACTACATGGTTGAAGGGTGGCTTATGAGGATTGATGGGTACTACATATACCAACAAGACGCGTCTTCTTTTCGGTAGCTCATTCCATAAAAATTCCACAATTAAGAGTGCTTGACTTGGAGCAATTTTGGGATGGGTGACCTTCTGAAAAATTTTCCAGAAAGCGTGAGTGATAAATGTCAATTTGTGGTATTTTTTAGTATGAATAATTGGCACTTATTGGCTTGATTGATTAGTTTTTATAGAAATAACCTCAACTTTAGTTTGAATAAGTAACCATTTAGTAGTTTAGTATAGTTTTGTCGGTTCATGTAAATATTGTATCAATTGATTTTTTTTGTCTCATTTTTGTAGGTATTCAAGCAATGATATTTAGCCATTGTAATATAGAGATTGAATAAGCTTTCCAACACTTCTGGCCATGTGTAAATTGGAGTTACGGTTCTCAAGTTAATGGGTGAGATGAATAACACAAAATAAATGACAAATTATGCAATCCTACCTAAATTTTTTATTATCCTTTAACACAACCACAAATCTTGATCATTAATTTGATTTTGATTACTCAAACTTCAATCTCCGCACTTGTAGCAATTTTTATAAAATTCTTCTTAGAGGTTGAACTTCTTCTTCAAAAGATTGATAGAAATAAAAGACTACTTCATTTTCTATGGAGAAGATTAATCTTTGTCTTCGATGGAACTTTGCATTGTTAAAAAATACAGGTATGCATGTGTTGGTTGGGATTTTCGATAAGGACCAAAATCCAACCAAAAGAAAAGGATCAAAAAGGTTCTTTAGAAAAGGTGATTTATGTGATTCGACTACTGATGCAGTCGATCTAGAGAGATTTTATAAGTAAGTGTTTGGGCCTGAAAACAGAAGAAGTCAAACAGAGAAGATCTCATAAGTCATTGGGCCTAGAAACATCAAAAGGCCCAAAAGATCCATCAAGCGAGCAAAGCGTTTTGGAGGGAAACTTGGAGAACGTGGGTTCGAGAGTATGAATGGAGAACATGGGATCATCAAGAGGAGTTACAAGATACATTTGGCGTACAAATAAGTGAAGTCCGCTAGAAAGTAGTTTTTTTGTGTATTATAAATAAAGCACTTAGTGCATAGTATGAAGGGTTCAAACTTTCACATTCTTATACGCTAGTCACCCAGAGTATCCAAACGAACGAGCGAAATGAGTCAAGCTAGGACAATGTATGTTTAAATCAACTTATTTTCAACCATTTTGATGTTATGTCATTTATGTTTACAATTTAAAATGTTTTTTGTTTTATTTTACAAGTCTTGCTTTATTGCTTATAAACTCGTTTGGCACCAGTCGAACGAATCCTTTTTGAACACACTTTGTGAAAACACTCGAAAACTGGAGCATTGTACTGAAATTCCCTAGTCGATCTCGCAAGTAAACTTTTATTAAGAGACCACTATTTTTTATCAAAGCCAGAGGTAAACAAATTGGCACACATGGTGGGTCACTGCTAATAATTTTGTATTTGTATTTGGTTTTACAATGTTTCTTGTAGTTTAGTTTATGTGTGTATGAATTTAAGAAGTGGTAAACATTTTTCGAAGTCTAAAATGCCATGCTTTGACACAAACAATGCATATACACATATTTCTACACAAAATGTAGATGTCATACCAGTGAGTGCCACAACTCAAAGTGCGATAATTTTATCTCCTGTGAGATCGACCGATGTTCATGGTTCAGTCACAACAATCACAATTACAAAACCTAGGCATATGGTATCACCATTTGACCCAAATCGATCACTCTTTCCATGGGGGGTCCAGGGTCATCATTTGTCCCTTACCAATATGGTATGCCTTATTCCATGATGGTTGGGTTACAGTCGAACCCATTCACATATACAGAAAACGCAGTGGCCACTGGAAACCAAGGTAGTTATATCCCAGGTGGTCGATCAGGTGGTGTTGGTTATATCCCCTAGTCGATGCCATCTTTGAATACTACTTTTGTTATGGCTTTGAGGCAACATATGGATGAGAGTAATTTAGAGTTAGTGAATGTTTTAACTCAGTAAATAGGAGTTTCCTTCGATCCTGTAGTTGACTAAATATGCAGATTGATCGAGTTATTAGAGATCCAACCAACTCAGACGCGCCAAAGGTCGTTAAGAGATTTTGAAGAACTGGAGGGAGGCAATAATGAGCGTTCTTTTAGACCTTGAAGGGTGGAAGTAACCACTTATGAAGAGGAAGAATTCGTTGAACAATACGAGTTTAGGCCAATCGTAGTTAGGAGGAACCAAGATGTTGATCTAGTGTTAAGAAATGCCACTGTTAGGCGTAACAACATAGTAAATGTAGTAGAAGAAGTGTTAACACGATATGGGGTAAATGTTGGCATTCATATGCCTAATTATTCGTCTCCCTTACCTGATTATATTCTATGGGTAGGATTACCTAGGGGATGTAAGGTACCTAAATTTACAAAGTTTGTTCGTGATGCTAATGAGTCGGCCATTGAACACATTGCTAGGTATGAAACATAAGTTGGTGATACCGCCAATGATGAGGGTTTAAAATTAAGATATTTTCCTAATTCATAAACCAAAAATGCTTTTAATTGGCTTAAAACATTGACTCCAAATTCTATATGCACTTGGGAACAACTTGAGGGCATATTTCATGAGTAGTTTTATGTTGGTCAGCCTAAGACAAGTTTGAAAGAATTATCCTCAATCAATAGGAGATCGTCTAAGTCAATGGAGGCTTATTTGAATAGGTTTAGGATCCTAAAGTCTAGATGTTTTACTAGAGTTCCTGAACATGAGCTGGTTGAAATGGCCATTGGGGGCTTAGATTATTCTATTAGGAAGAAGTTTGATCCTCAATCTATTACAGATATGTCTCAGTTGTCGTACCCCAAATTTGTCCTACCCCGTCGATTATGTTTTTAAGATTAAAAAAATATTTAATTAAGGATGGTACAACAATATGTGATGACCCATTCTTAAAATTTAAGTCAACCAGGGGGTGTATTTTAATTCAAGAAAATGAGATTTTCTAAATCAGAAAGACTCGTTTATCCGTAGGCCCATTTACGAAGCATGTTGGTCAATGGCCCATGCGATTCGAATATGGAAATTTATTTCAGAAATAATTATTAAGTTATTAAGTACACTTAAGTTTAAGTTGATGTTAGTAAAGAAAGGGGGTGTGGAATTTTGATTAAAGGTCCATTAAGGTTTTGGCAGCCCATTTGGTATCTTGATGATGTGTTGTTTTCAGAAAAAGAAGGTATTAGTATTAAAACTTTTATTATAAGAATAAATAAATAAAATATATTGCTTTGTTAAAAAAACATAGTATATTTTATTGCTGATTTTATAATAATGTT